GTTTAAATACCATGGCTTACACTGACCCTGAGGACAGATAAAGCCAGAACAGCACGTGGAGCTCAAGGTCAAACAGATGGCGAGGCAGAGTGTGGTCCCATTGACCAAGCTCCGTGAGAACCAGAGAGAGCTGGGCCAGTTCTCCCCAGCCATGCGGACGTCTGATCCATCAGCCCGTTCCCTCGCTGGAGAATGAGCAAGAATGACCTTGTCTATCTTGAAGGTTTGAGTGAGAGCTTTGAGGTTGAGTGTGATCATACATGTGCACACATGGGCGCAAGGAGCGAGCTGCTCCCAGCCAGCACAGCAGTGTGCAAGGGGACTGCCTCCCCGTGCCCCCAGGTTGCCGCTTTCCCATGTGGGGTGTGTGTGTGTGTGTGTGTGTGTGTGGTTTGTTATTTGTGTTATAGTTTCAGATTTTTTTCTCCCTCCTATTGCTGAGTTTGCTGGTGGGGAGGGTGTTAAAATAGTTTCCATCTCAACCCCCCTCCCCCGCCCCGCTCCAGAGGTCACTGGTATTGAGAACATGTTGATGAGACCCAGGCTTTCTGAGTGGGGAAGCCAGAGAGAGAGAGAGAGAGAGAGAGAGAGAGAGAGAGTCTTCCACCACAGGACCAAGGCCGGTGCTGGGCGCTGGCTGGGACTCCCAGTGCAGGCCTCTGTTGCTGTGGGGTTGGTGTTCCCACGGAGTGGACGCTGTCTTCTCGCTTCAGTGGGGAATGTCTGCCTGGCTTTCCACTCAGTGGGGCTGCAGATCCTGGTCATTTGTCTGAATCCTGGTCGTGCTGGTGAGATGCAAATGAAGCGGCCTTTGATGTGCTGGAGGCACAGTGACCGCGTGTGACTTTCCTTCCTGGAGCCGAAGTCTTCCCAAACCGCAACACCAGGGAGATCTTAGGAGCGCTGGCGATGGCGCCCGGGCCCGACTGCCGCGTGCCGGGCCTCTCCCGGGGGCTGCCTTCATTTCCGAGCCAGACCGTCGGCAAGCAGCCTGCGAACTCCAGGAGAGAAGGAGCTGCTTTTTAAGCCGAGAGAAAAGTTAGGAAGTAATTAGCATGCGCTAATTAAGAATAACAATAATAACATTTTGCATTTGTGCTTGGGATGAGAGCTGAGTCGGGCCCTTTGCCAAACTTCTTCTCTGCGGCCGCCGTCTTTCAAGTTGTCCGTTCTGAGCGATGACAGCGACGGGCAGCGTTGAAACATGCAATTGCTGGCATTGTTTATGGAGAGGATTTTATAGCCTCACTTAGGCATCTAATTCCACCCAGCATCTGCTATTGATGTCATTGCTTTAAGTATTTAGGAAAGAGAGTTGAAAGTCGATGCAGAAAATAAAAATAGATATAATTCACAGCTCTGGAGGGCCAGAAGCCGTGCGCTTGGCCGGTCCACACCTCGAAGGCGCCATCTGCCAAGTATCCCGGGCGGTCACATCTGCTGTCGCCACCTGTGATCATTTTCTTCCTCTTTTGCACTAAATAATCAATTAGAAGATTCTGGGTTTTCCTCCCTTGCTCATTTATTACTGGCTCAAGACCTGGCTTCCAGTAGAGCCAGAGAGAGGATGTGGCGCCTTGTGCTTCTGGGGACGGGGCCGACGCGGGGGAGTCGTTAGCTGGGCTGGGGACAGACAGGCAGGGACAAAGTGCATGGATTTCTGCTTTGGAAACGATGTTTCAGAAGTAAAAACTCACAAAACTCAGTGCTGCTGAAGTTGTGGGGCTCTCGTTGGAGGGGTTAAATTGTCGCTGACTTGCTGGAGAGCCATTTGCCGTGTGCTAGGTTTCCCAGCTAAGGAAGTGGAGCTAAGAAAAGGACCCGTGCCTCCACACGGCGGAAGCTCAGACGTGGTGCGCTTATGCAAATGGGAAGCAAGACGGACACAAAAATTCCTTACAGCATTCGCCCTCTTCTCCATCAAGAAAGTCACTTTGCTATTCAGCGAACCACATTACAAGGGAGAGTTATGTGCTCCCCAAAAGCGAGGGGTACCGAGCTCCTAGTGGGACGATAATACTGACCCAAGGACAAAATTATGCACACTGTGACCTGGAGGCGTAGTTGTGTGGAGAAGAGAAGGATGGTGAAATCACAGATGATTTTTAATTTGCTCTCTACATCTCTCTCTGTATTTTCCAAAACTTCCACAAGGAACGTACATTGCATCCGTTTGTGTTGCGTGTGCATTAATATTTTAAATATGCATGAAGAAAGTAAAATGTTCCTGCTACCCTAAGACGTATACAAAAATACCAAGCCCTCTGTGTTATCTGCAGATCAGCCGTGTTGGTGGGGGCCGTATTGTCTTCAGCAAGAAAGAAGGAACCGTGTCTGATAGTTCTTGCGGTCCCTGCTTGGTTCTCGTACGTAAGGCAGGTATGAATAGGGTCCAACATTGTTTGGTCTCGTGGTGTCTCAGTGGCACACAGTGTCACATGCCTGCCCGGTCAGGTTGTCGGGGGCGGGGGAGGGGAAGCGGTACTCAGCAGGGCCCTGACATTAGACACTGGGCCTGGGGAGGACTGTGACTTGGGAGGCGCGGTGCTCTGGACTTTAGATTCTGAAAATGTGATCTGTGAACTGACAGCGTGAGCGTCTCCTGGAAGCTCGTTAGGAATGCTATTTAGAGAGAGCCCTCAATTAGAGCGATGACCTCAGCTGACTGGGAAGGGCATGCAAGACGCATTGGGCTCATTTTGTCACTTATTTTTTTAAGAACCAAAAAACGTGCAGACACACAGCTTTCCTCATTCTAAAGCACGCAGGGCCCCACGCAGACCCAGTGCCTGGGACTGCGGTCAGTAGGATCGCCTGCAGCCGGGGCAGGTGCCTGAGGAGGACCGAGGGGGGATCTGGAGCCCTGGCGACGGTGCCCGTGTTTGTCAGTACCCCGTTTGGGGGAGGAGAATTCGATGGAATTGGTGACTGATTTTTCTGTAAAGGCAGCAAATAAACTGAACTTAATGGTTGCTGTGTGATCTGAGCTCACACAGGGTCCTGAGGTGGAAGCCGGGGGAGGGGGCTCCCTAGTGCCCGGGGGGGGGGCTGCTGAGCAAACTCAGGATCCCTGCTGGGAACCTGGGGGTCCCACAGACCAGGGCTGCAAAGGTGAACCCCACAAGGGGCAGCACCCTGACACCCTTTGGCAGCCTTGCTTGCCTTAGAGCGGTAAAAACGGCCATCTTTGTGTTTTTCTTGTTCTAAGAAAAGCATAGACCAAACGTGTCCGATTCATTTTGCATGCCTTTCACTGGCAGTTGAGGGCAGTCCTCTAACTCGAGTTCTCTAAATAGCCTGGTCTTGCTGCCCACTCTGTGAAAACCACCTGTGCGTCCTGACGTGAGCGGGGCAGTTACAGACCCCAGTCCTCAGACCCGGTCCCTTAGACGGAACCAGAAAAACAGGAAAATAAGGAGACTTGAGAGTCTTTGACCACGCTCACTGGAGTCCATTTAGAGGACTGCCCTTCAGTAAACACTAAGGTCCACGTTCTTTTCTGCTATCAACATTGCTTTTCCTTTTATAATGATGACATTTTCCCTTTAATTTTCTTGGCCATTTTTTTTCTTCTTGTTGACAGACCTGTGTGTGTGTGTGTGTGTGTGTGTGCGTGTGAATTAAGTACTCACCACTTGGCTGCTTTTTTGAGGTCTTTCTGAAGGACCAGAGCTGGGAGTTGGTGCAGGTCTGGTCCCGTCTCCCGCCGCGTGGGAGCAGACACGTTGCGTATCTTGGGAAGCTGGGGATGTGCTAACCACTGCCCTCTCCCCGGAAATGTATCAGCTTCTCCCTAGATTTCATGAGCCCTGGTGCCCTCTCCAATTGGAACCCTAACCAAGCATCGTCTAAGTCAAGTGCTGGTCACATCCCAACATTGACCCTTCCTGGTGCGACGCTGCCCAGTGGGACACAGGTGGCACTGGCCCACTCACCACCCTGCAGAAGCCTGCAAGTCCCTGGGAGTGGGGTCCTGGTCAGTTCCGCTGGGGGGCTCCGACTCTCGGCTGCTCACTCACTTCCCTGGGCTGTTTCAGTGGTCGTGGTACCAACGTCCTACACACAGCCGTCGCCCTCTGCCATCTCTTCCTCCTCATCTCCACCCAGAGTCCTTGGGGTCTCCCTCCCCCTCAAGGGACTTGGCCAGGCCAGGTGCGTGAGTGACTGTGACACCTCCTCCCTGACCGTGATGCCCTGGCTGAGCAGAGCAGGACTTAGTTAGGGGCTCACTCCTCCGGGGTGGGGTGGTCCTTTGGTTAGCTGTTGTCCTCTGGGGACAACAGGGACCTGGCGCCCGGAGCCTGGGCACCTGCGGGCCAGGGCTGAACCCTCCCAGGCTCCCCAGGGAAGTCAAGTAGTCACGCGCCCTTTGGTCTTGCCTGTTGCTGACCAGGGTGTGTGTGTGGCTGAGTCTGGCCCTAAACCCGATTGGATGTCCCCCTGCGTGAGTGAGTGACTCAGCCTGCACCCGGGCCAGGCTGTGTCCCTGCAGGCCTGGAGGGAGGGCGGGCCTGGCATTTAGCTTTCGGCGTCCGAGGCCAGAGCCGGCAGCAGCCTCACTGGCATCTGTTTGTGATGCCCACAGCTGTGCACAGACGTTTGCACAGGCACAACCTTCCATGTGGGAAATGCTCCTCACTCCTCAGTGTCCTTGTCACAGAGAATAATGTCACGCCACAGCACACTGCCCAGGGCGCCAGTGCTTGGCTCTGGGACAGACCCAGGGAGCCGCAGCTCGCAGCTGCTGCTGGCGCAGGGAGACGTGCAGGGCCCAGGCTCTCCCCGTACCTGCAGCCTGACTTCTTGCTGTCTCCCGTCCTCTGCTCCGGTGGGATTTTGTTTTCATTCCTCTCCGTCTCCGTTTCCCACCGTGCTCTGGCACAGACAGAAGCAGAGAAGCCCTGTAACTCGAATCACAATCACCTTGACATTTTGTTCCAGAATTAGAATGTTCCCGAGGCTTCTGCCGGAGAGAAAGACAACCCCCTGGGATGTGCTTTGCCAGGTGGCCTCGGCTGCGCCCAGGGACCTGTTCCATTTGGGGCTAGAGATGGATTCCGCAAGTGCCTACTGCGTCCCAGGCTTGGGGTTAGGTTCCGAGCAGAGGAATGAAGGCAGGCAGGGGAGACGTGTTAATAGATTCCTGGTGAGCAGTTTGTAACTGTAAAAATGTTCTAGGAAGAGGGGGAGTGAGGCTGCTTGGCCCAGGGAGCTCAGACGGTCCCTGGGGACAGGACCAGGGAGCTCAGACGGTCCCTGGGGACAGGACTTGCCTAGGATGGGGCAGGCTGTGCTGCACTGACAGCCTCCCCGTGTCAGCGGCTTGACATGCTAAGGTCGTGTCTCCATCTGAGGATATGGCTGGTGGGGGCAGGACCCCCGCCCGCTGGGACTGGGCAGGGGGAAGGGAAGGAGGCAACACACAATGGTTCTTAGTGGCTGTTGCCTGGAGTGGGCACAAGTCACTTCCACACGCATGTATTGTCAAAGGAAGTCACATGGCCCGGTGACCTCACGTGAAAGCCTGGGGAAGCACAACCCCACCCTGTGTCCAGGAGGACAAGAAGCCTACTGAGTGCAGGGGTGGGGGCGTGTGTGCTGCGGGACAGCAGGAGTCGGGCCCAGCATGGCCGGGAGCGCTGAGTCCCTTGGGTAGGGAAAGGAGGGTCCCTGGAGGTGAGTTGAGTGGAGGTGCCTCCTTGTAGTCCAGGGCCACTGAATGCCTGGGGGCTGCTAGATACTGAGGGCCAGTGTACAAGAACCTCACGGAGGCAGCAGAGTGGACCGGAGAGATGGCTCCCCAGATCACCATGCACTGGCAGCTGGGGGCTGCTCCAGGCAGAGCTGCCCGTGAATGGCCTTTTGTCGCCAGCCCTGTTGGGCTCGGAGCAGGTTCTGAGGACTGGACCCCCGCCCTCCGTGAGTGCTGTCTGGGAAGGTGCTGCAGCCATGAAGCAGGGGAAGGAGGGCTGCCCTTGAAGACCTGTCCTCCATTGGTGCTGTATTCAGCGCAAGGCTTTGAGTTCTTGACCACAGTCTAGTGACAGAGGCTGTGCTGGGTCCAGTGGGCTGGCCAACCTTTCAGCAGCTGATGATGGCAGACACTCATTTCCTGCCTGAGAGCAGTCCAGAGAGTGCCCTGTCCCTTGGCTGCAGTCTCAGACTGGGCGTGAGGGTCACAGCTCAGTGACCAGAGCTGTCGCTCCCCCATTCGCGGAGGAACGACATAGGACCCTGCGCTGTTCTTTTGTCTGCTCGGCCCTCCCCAGGTTTGCTCCTGGTCCTTCCTGGGTTGGCTGCCGACCCTCCACCTCCGTGGAGGGACGGTTCCCCCTGCCACTTTCCCCACTTCCGCAGGGGAGCAGCACACCGCCGGCCGGCTCTCTCGGGGGCTGCTCAGATGTTATCCGGATGTTCCCTTTAGATGTTCCTGGTGCATGTTGTCTCTCTCCTCCTTTATAGTCCTCTTCCACCAATCCCAACTCTGCTACCCACACGCCGAGTACGCTGCTCTCCTCCAATCAGGAGCAGGATCAGCTCCTGCAGGTTATTGGTCGAACTGGAGGCAGCTGTGTAGAAGTTGTTTCCTCCTCTCCCAGCGCCATATTGTGGGAGAGCAGATGCATAGAATAAGTCTTAATTCCAGTAACTTAGTCTAGTCCGAATTGCTCCCCACACAGAGCCAAAGCACACAGGTGTACACACCAGGCCCACTGCTGTCCATGTCGGCTCATGCAGGTCCATGGTCACATGACCACGCCACAGTGCAAGAGGAGCTGGGAAGGGGAATCCATCCTGTGCCCAGAGAGGCTGTGCTTTCAGCCTACAGAAGCCGGGACTCTTAGCTTGAAAGGACTTAGTCAAGGCCGTGGGCCATTCTGGAACTCACTTCTTTCCTGATTATGCTGGAGAACAGTGCGGTAGGCCATTTGTTCCTGGGGAAGGAGTCAAAATGCTGGGAGAACATTGCCTGTGTCAGGACGGCCCAGCTCTCACTTGGGACCCGGTCGTGGCCTTGCTCGTGACGGTGCTGTTCCACGGGCAGAAGCTGTCACCTCCCAGCAGCAGACCCGCCCACTGGACGTCGGGAGTGACCCATGGCTTTCTGAGCAAGCCAGGGGCAGCATTTCCTGGCCCTTGTGGGCCTTCCTGCCAGTTCAGCAGATAAAGCAGGTGCAGTTTTCCTGAAATTCACGGGCACTCTAGGCCATGGCACACGCAGTGGGAGCTCCAGCCAGCATCTGTCTGGCTCCTTGACTGTGAATCCACTCCGTCAAGCGCAGGTCAGTAGCTGAGTGAGCACCTGGCTTTCTCACCTGTGTTCCAGAGAACAGGGGTCTCCCGAGTGACAGGCGCGACTGCATTTGTTGAGTCTAAGTTGGGTTTACGTAACAATATGTGTTGTATGAAGGAAACTTTTCCGAGTGGGAGTTTTGCTGCTGTGGCCATTGGAGTTCTACCATTCAGCTGCCTGCCCCACGCCTCCCAGCTGTGGCTACTGCGGAATGCTAACCATGGTAGCACCACCTGCTATCCCGTAGGTTCTAACTTGCCTTGTGTTTTCACAATTCCCTCGAATGTAATCACGCTAAGGTAAAAAGTGGTTAAACTGCCAATGGAGCTGGTCATGGACTTTAACAAGGTTCTTAGTGCCACGTTTGTTTGTACAGGTTCTTTGTAAAGAATGCACTTCCTGGGATTGGTTGGAGCTATGTCCTGTACATCTGGGCAGATGGCAATGAATGAAACAACTCTTTCCTAGCTGAGAAGTACTGGTGCTCTCGGAGGTGAGGAGCAGGCAGAGGGGCTGTGCGTGCACACCCAGGGCACGTGGCCATGCTGACCGGAGAAGGAGCAGACACGCTGCGGGCAGGTTGCCCAGCGCCTCGGCTGTTGGTGCTGGAGAGAGGCCGCAGAGCAGGACTCTCCCCAGCCACCAGGGCTCCTCAGTGGGCGGCCACTGCTGATTTTTGACTTCCTGTGGAGCCCAAGCTGCCTCCCAGCACTGCAGGTCCCTGTTCAGGAAGGGCACAGAGGGAAACTGTGCTCAGTCTGGGGGACCCAACAGGGCTGAACGAGGGCACTGCCTGCCAGGCATGAGCAGGACACGTGGTGTCCCAGGCTGGCAACACCAGGAGTGCTGCCGGTGTAGACCTCAGGTGCAGAGGAGACGCTTCCGCTGACCTCGAGGGGGCAATCAGAAGCCTGTGGGGGGAGGCAGCAGATGTCCAAACCGCCAGCGCACTGTCCCTGGCCCCTTTGACAAGAGTCCACTGGAAACTGAATCCAGATGGCCAAGGCAGGCACCAGGCTGGTCGGCCTCCAAGGTGTGCAAGGGGCGGGAGGGTGGAGCACAGACAGGCACTCACACCGTCCCTAGGGGTGGACCTCCCCTGGCCAGAGTCTTGCGCATGGCCAGGCTCGGTGCAGAATGGCCCGCCGAGGGGGAGACCAGACAGTCCCCAGAGAAGGCAGAGGTGGAGCGAGAGGAGGACCTGGTGTCTGACGGTCTGGTTCTAGTCCCAGGATAGTCACCGGCTGGCAGTGACCTGGGCGGTCACAGAATCCCAGTTTACTCCTGTTTACAGTGAGAATGATGGGGGTCACCCGCCCAAGTTCCTGTGGGGGCCAAGCAGGGTCAGCAGTGGAGGGAGAAGGGGCATCTCGGGCAGGGGAGCAGCGCAGGCAGTGGCGTGGCGGTGCGGGGCCAGCTGTGGCTGTGCGGAGGCAGAGGCGAGAAGGGGCAGGGCGCTGTCCTCATCTGAAGGCCCAGGAGCTTAGACTCTTCCAGGAGCGCTGGGAGCCCGGGGGCCCGAGGCGTGGCCACTGCAACTGTGGGAAGAGAGTGGCTGACCTTGGAATGGAGCGGAGCCCGGGCAAGGCCACCACCGTGAGAGGAGGCTCGGCGCCCAGGTTCTGGGTCCTCTGTCCTTACCGAGTGGGGTGCAGCAGGATTAACGGGCTGAACAGCTGGAGGGGACGTGCGATTGTCTCCGTTTCCGCCTCTCGTGTCGGCACAGCTCAGCTGTGTCCTCCGCAGAGCACTGGGGCAGGGCTGCACGGGGAAGGGTCTGCTTCCAGAAGCTCACGTTGGTTGGCAGCGTCCATGCCCGAGCAGCTGAAGCTGGGAGCCGGGCTGAGGGCTCCCCAGCTCCTGCTCACAGCGTGAGGTTTCCTTGTCCCAGGCTGATGGAGGGCAGGTCTCTGAGTGAGGCGGCTGCTAAGATCCTCTGTAAGGGAACCACACGCGACGCTGACCCTCTGCTGTTCTCCGCTGGGTAGAAGCCGGTCACGTGCCTCACCCACACTCCCGGGGGAGACGGGCAGTGCACGTGGGCGAGAACCCACGAGGGAGGCGGCCATGGGCGAGCGGTGTAGTCGCCTCCACAGAGCCCAGGACACACGAGTGAAAGGAGGCCCTTTTCAAAGAAGTAACTAAATCGTCAAGGTAAGCCTTCACACGTGTGCGCGTTTAAATGTTTCCCCTTAAAGAAAGGCAAATAAAGACTCCGGTCCTGTTGATATGGAGCATATTGCTTCTTTAAGCTGTGGCGTCAGAATCCAATTACGTTTCTAGAAGAAAAGAGCCATGGACAAATCCCACAAGTCTATTTGAGAAACCCCGGGGGAGTCCACAGTCACTTTGGAAACTGAAATTTTATTCCGAGGAAGTGGCTTTGATGAGAAATTATCTCAGTGAAAGGGAAGTTTTTATGTTGCAAAAATAATCTTTTCGATTTTCAGCCAAATGACGACAGGAAACACTGCTCAAGTAACTAGGAACACTCGCAGAGCTTATCCGAAGCCCTGGCCTTGGCCTTGATACATCGCAGTGTCTACAGTTCTCACGGTGCAGAATCACAGAAAGACCAGCATGTGCACTTCAAGACGGGGGAAAAGAACCACGGACGTGCTGATTTCCCAATTTATTCTTCCAGGTTTAACAAACTGTTTGAGAACCACTGTAGCCGCGACACCACGTGTACCAGGAGAGGAATCTGGAGAACGCGTCGACCTCTTGCTCGTAGTCTCAGAGCCGAATCTGATGCGCTCTTGTGTGTTTTTCTGTAACCAGACACTGTTGTGATTAACCCTGTAATTTTTTCAACTTCATCTGAACTTTTTAATAAACCTATTCATTATTTTCTCAGCTGCTTTTTCTATACATCTGCGAGTTGGCTGTTAAACACATTAATTATGGGAGATAAAAGATAAGAGAGGCAGCAGGTACCATCTCCTGTGCTCCACAGATGATTTAATTCTTTACATTTTCCCAACTTGTGCAGACACGGTGCCCTGCACAGGGGCCCTGAGGGGGTGGTCTCCAGGCATTCCGTGGAACCTTGAGGGTCGTCTGTCCCAGGAAGTCTGGGTGGCTGGGCTGCCCTTTTCAGCCCCTCCACTCTGGGGAAACCCAGACAAATGTTTGGCCAACTCGGCTCCCAGGGAGAGGGACACCCGTGCAGAGAGCATTTCCTGGTACGGAAGAGGGTGGTGTCCCTGACATTCTAGCCCCGGGCAAAGGGAGCCGTGGGAGAGTCATGGCTGGTCTCCCTGGAACTCCCTGCAGGCCTGGCTCCCTGGGGGTTGCCGTGTTCCTTCTGCTCTCGCTATTTTTTTTGGACAGGCAGAGTGGACAGTGAGAGAGAGAGACGGAGAGAAAGGTCTTCCTTTGCCGTTGGTTCACCCTCCAATGGCCGCCGCGCTGCAGCAGGCGCACCACGCTGATCCGAAGCCAGGAGCCAGGAGATTCTCCTGGTCTCCCATGAGGTGCAGGGCCCAAGCACTTGGGCCATCCTCCACTGCACTCCCTGACCACAGCAGAGAGCTGGCCTGGAAGAGGGGCAACCAGGACAGAATCCGGCGCCCCGACCAGGACTAGAACCCGGTGTGGCGGCGCCGCTAGGCGGAGGATTAGCCTAGTGAGCCGCGGCGCCGTCCTCTGCTCTCGCTCTTAAATTCATCCTAAGGTTTCAGCTCATCCAGCCCCTTCGCTTCTGCAAGTCTGCGGTTAAACTCGAGACCTAAAGAAAGCCATGGGAGGCGCCCACCCAGGACGCAGTCTGCCGGTTACGCTTCTCTCACAGAGAGCCCTGTCCCAAGGAGCCGGTGGCCGGGAAAGCCCCCTGGTGGCTTCGAAGGCCTTGCTGAGCAACCGGGGCCGAAGAAGTTGGTGGTAGTGCAGCTGCAAAGATGGCGCGGCGTGGGGGCGGGGGAGTGAGCTGGGGACCCCCACCAGTGGACTGTGTTTGAGGCCCTAATTGACAGGGCCCACACGCAGCTATGAAGTTTGTGTTGGGACAGCGAGGGCCATGGCTCCCTTTGGAGGCCCAGCAGTGGTGTGCCTTGCGTGGTCTGAGGTAGGAGAAGTGGAAGCTGGAGTGGCCGTGGGCCGTGGGTGAAGGCAAAGAGGAGGGCGGGGGTGAAGGGAAGGCACGTGCGTCCCCTCCACTCATTCACAGGTGGTGGGCGGGAGTGGCTGGGTATCCAGGCGCCCGTCTCCCTGTATGGGGCCCTCTGTTGCCCCGTTCCCCTGCAGGACGAGGCTCTCACACCCCCAGCTTCGGGAAGTGCTGGCTTGGAGGTTTGCACCCGCGTCTGCCCAGGAAGTGCCCTGAGAGGCAGGGAGCACCTGGCCCAAGGGGAAGCCTCTCCTTGGGGGCAGCCCACATCCAGTGGCTGCAGGGGTTCAATGGCCGAGTACCCTGGCTCCGTGAAGACAGCCTGGCAGGGTCGGCCCAGCCCGCGTGCCCCTGGGACCTACATGGCCGCTCTTGGGGGGCAGCCCACATCCAGTGGCTGCAGGGTCTGATGGCCCGGGTACCCTGGCTCCGTGAAGACAGCCTGGCAGGGTGGGCCCAGCCCATGTGCCCGGGGGGCCCTAGATGGCCGCTCTTGCAAGTCTCCTCCCTGCCTTTCCCACAGTTGCTCCCAGCACTCCCCCCCACCCCCGGCTGCAGCCCCCAGGCCCTCAGAGTGACTCCTCAGGGGCAGAGCCCGAGTCCTGCAGCCCCTTGGCTGACCTGAACACCTGCTCTCTGCATCTTCAGACCTTAGCGAGCGAAGCACCCGCCCCGTCCCTCCTCAGGGCCCCTGTCTCCCTAGTGCTTCCCCAGCGGCATGGCCTCTAGACTTGCGATTGTGGCTTCCCTGGGTCCTTTAAGGTTGCTGGAGTTGAGGAGGAAAGGAGGAGGGAATAGGCTGTGGCTGGCTCTGTGGGATGGCCGGCAGCCCTGGGGCAGGTGCAGTTTTGCAGGGAAATGCGTGCTTCGGCTGGGGCTTCCATCCACCTCCTCATGTTGTGCTTTGGCTTTTTCTCTCCTTCCTTGCCTTGTATTGGAGAATCTTTTGTGAAAATAATTTCATGCTTTTCCTCTTTCAAATTTCCCAGTCTCTCAGAGTCTGTCTTTGGAGGGATTACCCTGAAAATTGCAATGTGCAAACTTAACTTGCCGAGTTGGAAGTTTGTCAAAATATTTCTCATACTCTCAGGAAATACAAATGCCTTAGGGTATTTTAACCATCTACCACCACTTTTGATTATCTTTTGCTTTTTAAAAATATTTATTTATTTGCAAGGCAGAGTTATGCAGAAGCAGAGAGAAAGAGAGATAGAGAGAGGGAGGTCTTCCATCCACTGATTCACTCCACAATTGACCGCAACGGCCGGAGCTGAGCCGATCCAAAGCAAGGAGCCAGGAGCCAGGAGCCTCTTCCGGGTCTCCCACGTGGGTGCAGGGGAGGACTTGGGCCATCTTCTACTGCTTTCCCAGGCCACAGCAGAGAGCTGGATGGGAAGTGGAGCAGCTGAGACTCAAACTGGCGCCCATTTGGGATGCCGGCACTGCAGGCAGCATCTTCTCCCGCTATGCCATGGAGCTGGACCCGATTGTCTTTTTCTTCATTCACCTCATTGACAGTATACTCCTGTCATTCCTGTTTTTCTCATCCCTGCATGGAAGATCTTCAGAAAGGAGAGATCATTTTTTTCTTTAGTTTATTCTAAAATATCTTTATTGTCTTGGTTTCCTGTAGTTGCTCTTGGCTTTTCCTAGTGTTTCTTTTTATTTCTCCTGCGTGGGATTGTCTTGGCCTCTTGAATCTGTGGATTCATGCATGCCACTGCTTTTGGCCTTGAGATATTCTCATTTATGATCTTTTCCAACCTCCCCCGTTCTGAATTTTCCCCTCTCCTGCTCGGGCGCTGGTGAACCTGAGTGTGGTGTTCTCATTCGATGTTGCCGCACACTTGACCTCTTCTGTCTCCTCCACCGTTTTTAATCTGTGATGCGCTGACTTTTCTTCGTTGTTTTGGTCACTCCTGTTCTGCTTATCCACTACCTCTCTTTCCTCCTGGGTCCGTTCTGCTGGCAAATGTCATCTGTTGACTTTACATCTTCAGTCATTGTGCTAACTCTACACACTCTATCTGATCCCTTTTCAGATCTTCAGTGTCGCCTGCTATCCTTTTCTATTCTTTGCAGGATTTATTTTAAAGATTTTATTTATTTATTTGAGTTACAGACACAGAGAGGGAGAGACAGAGAGAAAGCTCTTCTGTCCATCGGTTCACTTCCCGAATGGCTGCAACAGCTGGAACTGGGCCAATCCTAAGCCAGGAGCCAGGAGCTTCTTCTAGATCTCCCACATGGGTGCAGGGGCCCAAGCACTTGGGCCATCTTCCACTGCTTTCCCAGGCCGTTAGCAGGGAGCTGGATTGGAAGTGGAGCAGCTGGGACACAAACTGGCGCCCGTATAGGGTGCCAGCCCCGCCAAGTGGAGGCTTCTCCTGTTATGCCACAGGGCCAGCTCCTCTTTGCTGCAGACTGTCAAGCTGGTCCTTCTCTTTAATCATCAAGCACAGTGAAGCTGTCTGCCTGTGTCGTCACTAGCGCTGATGACTTCCTTATTGCCGTACGTTGCCTGTTCTCAGTTAGTCTACAAACTTCGGAGCTTGGCCTTTCTTGGAGAGGGGACGTCTGGGACCTAATTCAACCTGTGGTCTTACCCAAGCCTCCCCAGTCGCCTGGGTTCTGAAAGCCTGGGACGTGGCCGCTTACCACAGCTGGGGCCGCAGCTTCTGAACTCTTTCTGTCCACTTCTTCTATGCTCAGTTCCAAGAGGGCCCCCTCTGAGGCCTTCCAGGGAAGTGGGAATGGTAGTTACTGCGTCGTCCTCTGCCACTGCCCAAGCCACTGGACTCCACCAGTGTCCTCAGAGCCGTTTGAGTCCTTGTTCCAGATATGACCTGAAGATTCCCAACTTCCTTTTCAGTTCTTCTCTGCTTTTTAGCATCTGCCTGTTTCAGCAATAATCCCTCACTGTTTCCAGCGGCAGAGTAGACTCCAGTGATCGTCACTGCTTTCAGCCTACCTTATTGATCTTCCCTATTGACTGACATCACAGTTTAACTCCAAGAGTGACTGCTCTTAATTGGAAACATATTTAAAGCCTGTATTCTATTAATATTAAGCATAAAGCATTACCTTCTGATTCTCAGTTTTGTAATAGGACATTAATTCATTCGCAGTAGGATGTTAATAATTGTATTTTAAATGCTTATTTATATCTGCTTGAAAGTCAGAAAGAGAGAGACAGAGAAAAAGAGATTTATCTGTTGCTTCACTCCCAATTGCCCACAACAGTCTGGTTTGGTCCAGGCCAAAGCCTGGAGTCTGGACCTCGTCTGGGTTCCTGCAAAGGTGGCAGAGGCCCACGCACTTGAGCCCTCCCCCGCTGCCTCTCAGTGTGCATTAGCAGGAGGCTGGGTCAGACGCAGAGCCAACTGGCATCGGCTATGGGATGTGGGCGTCCCTAGCAGCACCGTAACCTGTTGTTCCACAGTGCCCACCCTGATGTTGATTAACTTGGGAACCCTCGGTCCTCCTGGGTTTCTAGACACCAGAGGGACATGATGCTGAATGCTGTAGAGGAGAGATCTGCAACTTGACTTACTTGTTGTAAGGAACCTCCTTTATTTTTCATGTTTTTATTTTTTTAATATTTATTTATTTATTTGAAAGTCAGAGTTCTAGAGAGAAAAAAAGAGGCAGAAAGATCTTCCATCTGCTGGGTCTCTCCCCAGGTGACCACAATGGCCAGGGGTGGGCCAGTCTGAAGCCAGGAGCCAGA